CATGCCAACACCAGAAAACACTAAAGCTCTCCAAAGTTTTCTCGGGCTTATGAACTATTTTAAACGTTTCATTCTACACTACAGTACAATAACTTATCCATTGAGAAATCTTCTGCATAAAGATTTCTTATAGAACTATAACCTTGAGTGTCAGCATGCATTTGACAAACTAAAAAACGCTATAGGATTGAACTCATGTGTCGGATACTTCGATCCCAACAAAGAGACTACTGTCTTTACCGATGCAAGTCTTGTAGGCATATCGGCAGTTATTGTTCAAAACACTCTAAATAAACAAGATTTTAAACTAATATCTTTTAATTCAAAAGCGCTATCGCCTGTACAAAAACGCTACTCTACGCTCGAAAAAGAATGTTTAGCTATAGTATACGCCTGCAAGCATAACAAAACATACCTATTTTAACACCCTTTTAAAATGTACAGCGACCATGAAGCTATTGTAAAGATTTTAAACAACCCAAACGCTACAGTACCACTTCGCATTGAGCGTATGACTTTACGATTACAAGGATATTCTTTTGATCTACACTACGTAAAAAGAATATCTCTGATTATTCTAGTCAATACCCTGTAGACCCTTGTGAGGACGAAGGGCTAGAAAAATATGTCAATTTTACAACTGAATACGCATGTCCTAAAGCCCTTTCACTACTGGATATTCAAAGAGAAACTAAAGCCAATCCTATTCTACAAATACTGACAGAGTTAATTACTACTAATACCTGGCATAAACTATTACATCCGAATTGTCCACTAGAACCAAAAAAATTTCAAAAAGACTTACTTGCTTACCGTAATATACGCCGAGAACTTACAGTAAATTAGACTTCAGACCTTATTCTAAAAGCAAATCGAATTGTACTTCCACATTCTCTGGAAATTACGGTTTTACAGCTTGCTCATAATAGTCATATGGGACTTGAGAAAACCAAATCATTACTTAGAGAAAAAGTTTACTTTCCTAGTCTAGACACTAAAGTAGAAGAATATATAAAACGATGTGCAATTTGTCACCCTTGGTAAACAAAATGCACCAGCCGAACTATTAATCACACCAACACCAGAGGAAGTTTGGGACACCGTTAATATAGATTACCTTAATCCTTTACCTAATGGATTTTATTTGGTAGTTCTTATAGACCAAACATCAAAATTTCCGGTTGTCGATATTATACATAATACATTTGCTGACCTCCTTAGTGATTTTCTACAGAAAACGATTGCAGTATATGGAATACCGAAAACGATTGTCAGCGATAATGGACCACCTTTTACTTCATTCAAAATAAAGATGTTTTTGAACAAACTGAATATTCAACATAAAAGAATCACCCCGCTTTGGCCGCAAGCAAACTCACAAGCCGAATCCTTTATGAAATCACTGATTAAAACAATACGAGCAGCACACATTGAACGGAAAGACAGGAAAAAGCAATCATACAACTTCCTGTTTTCCTACCGTACCACATCCCATTGCACAACTCGAACACCACCATCTACACTCATGTTTAATTGCGTTACAGGTTTTACAATACCTTCATTCCAAACAAGGGTCGATACAAAAATCAATGATCAAGCCAAAAAGAGACAAGAAAATTCTAAGTTATACAGAAAAAAACATCACGATTTAAAATACCACACAAAAAATTCAAGTTTAATTACAGTACTGATAAAACAAAAAAAATATAACAAAATTACGGCACCATTCGAGTTCAAACCCTACACAATTACTGAAAAGAATGGTACAATGATCACTGCTAAATCTTCCGTCGACAATGCTCAAAAAACTCGAAATGCTACACACATGAAGAATGTACCAACGGATATTCAATTTAATCCGATACCAATTAAAGAAGAGAAAGATGAAAAATACCTCCAGAACGAATCAATTTTGCCAGAAAAGGAAACAACAGCTACTATGCCAACACAACTAAGAAGCTATCATCAAGAACCGATTCTGAAGACATATCCTAACAGAGAACGACGTCTTATAGAATTATGGAGGAAGTATTAAAATATTATAAAACACAAACATTAAAACATTTCATTTACAGAAGAAGAGGAAATGTAAAAATGTGCTCCGAGATGGAGATCTTAATTAAAACTATATTTACGTTATTGTAACTTTATGAAGGCATTATATAGAAAATAAGCGATAAGAAATGTTGTAGTTTATGATTAAAGATACTTCTGCTTTACAAGAGGATTTGGCCTTCTTAGATGATCAAAGGTATTTTTTGCCTAAATTTTTTTGCGAAGATTTAACCTATTTTTCAATTATGATATATCTGCTAATTTTTCCCTTATATAAAAAAATAATTTTTTTGAGAAATTTTGTTTTTTTTATTCAAATTTATCTTACGCTAAGTGTTTTGACAACTTTTTGCACAGAACTAACAGAAATATGATCATATCTTCTAAAATTGACACAGAGCTTGAAGCAAGGTTTCAGAGAAAGATTGATAGATGCAAGAGGAAAGAAGAATATAAAGATCGAGTACAGAAGAGCAACGATTCGATAATTCGTGACAACGAAGAAAAAATTGGGAAAAAAGGCAATGGAATCTCCTAACAATGATTTAAATCTCAATTTCTCAAGTGAGGAACCTACAGAACCTAAAAAAATAGGCTGAATCGCAATTAGTTAATATTTAAGTATAATTTGTTTAACACATAAAAATATTTGTTTCAACTTATGGTTAAATAAAGAGAGAATATAAACAATTTTTTCTAATAATGCACGGACATTTTAGGCAAAACTTGTAATTTTTTGAAGTAAATGTATAACTGAGCTAAAAATCTTTATATTAATTTAGATGCTAGAAGAGTAATTGCTAAGTCGGAAGATTTTGTCGCAAATAAAAATGTTAATTTTCACGAAGCAAGCTCAAAAAGTTTAGACCAGCATCAGTTTAGACCAGCATATTTCAGAGTAGAAAAGGAGATCTCATTGCAGCAACTACTTCCGCCAGTATAAGAGCCGGTCTCAGCATTCAAAATCAAACCCTTCTTATTGCAAGCGTAGTAAACTATTTAGGAGGAGATGTTAAACAGCTAAAATTAAGCAGAGGATCTGTCAGAAGGCGACGTTACAGATATTTAGAAGAGGAAGGAGGCCAGCTACGTAATGTATATATTGATTTAATGGCTAAGAAGATGTTAGTTTTACATTTTGATGGTAAAATTTTAAAGCATATTGAGGAGGACACTAGACAGGAAACTACTGCAGATAGACTATCAGTATCTGTTACTAGCCCAGAGTTTGAAACCAAAGATGATCTTTTACTTGGTGCTGTGCCAACTGATAGTGGTAAGGGAGTCGATATGGCTATAAGTATTATGAATCTCCTAAAATGTTTTGAAATTTGTGACTATATTGTAGGATTCTGTTCTGACACCACAGTAAGTAACACTGGATGGAAATCTGGTGCAATAACTATTATGGAAAGATTTCTTGGTAAACCATTTCTTTGGTTATTGTGTAGACACCATATTGCCAAAATAAATATTAATTGGGCTTTTAAGGCAAGTTTCAATAAAAATGTCTGAAGCCCCTGCGAATAAGTTACTAAAAGATTTTCGAAAGAAATGGATAACATAATTTTTTCCTAAAGTTTCAGCTAGTGGTGCTGTAGAAAAGTTTAAACGATTTCCTGAGCAAGACCTTATTGTTGGCAGTAATCTCTGCAAACTTTATTTGAAGTCTAAAAAGTTTGTAACTAAAGCACTAGAACATGAAATCTTCCCCAGATATGTAAAAATGATATAAAATGAGTTAGTTTTTCCATAAATATACTTTTTTTTTTAAAGTTATTTAATAAAGTTAGGATTATTTTAGGAATGCTTACAGGCATTGTTGAATATTTGGCGTATTACATGAATGCTAAGTCTGAGAAATTAAATAATTTTCACATCTATCAGTCTGGCGTCTGTCACAAAGCAAGATTTATGGCCTATGCAATATATTTTTAATGCTCGATATGACATCCACAGTCATTGTATGTCTGACTCCTGAAAAGAAAAACATATGGTCTCAAGGGTAGCATTTATTGTTGCTATTTATTATGGATCTGCCTTTCTTAAATCAGGCAAAGCAGAGCATGCTGTTCTAAATAATTTTAATGCATTCAAAATTGCTGAAACAATTAAAACAGAATGGGATTATGAAGTTGGAAACTCACTTCAAAAAAGCATGAGTAACCAACCACACATGGTTTTTGTCTCCAAAAGTTGTCGTACTATCGTTAGGTGATCCTCATTTGAAAGCAGATGCTAAGCGTTTAATCATTGAGAAACTTTTAAAATTTCCAATTCCTGAGTTACCATAGATTTCTGTTTAAGCTCCTTCTGCTGTTATTGTTACCAGTGATAGTCGATTAGAGGATTTAATTACGAAGGAGAGTTGGCTTTTTTTTATACTTACAGGTAACACCGAATCTGTTCGAGAGTGGCATACTTCAAGTGATTTCTTAGCACTAGATTCATACATTTTGCTCAGTTAGTTTGCAATCTTAGTGTGACCAACGATTTTGTAGAAAGAAATATTAGTTTAATTGAAAACTTTGTTCACAGTTCTCACAATGAGGATCAGAGACAGAACATTCTTTTGGTAGTCAGAGAGCACAGAAAGCTTATAACAAAAGATATGTCGCTTATGGAACTGGTAAAGCTAAAAACTAGAGTTGAAAAATTATGGTAAAATAATAGCAAACTGTATGAAACTATAAACAGTGTTTTTTTTCTTTTAATATCAAACAAAGGTTTATATATAAACATATTTTAACTAGTAAAAAATGACATAAAGTTCAGCTAATCCTCAATATTTGAAAAATTACATGTAGCACTTCCAACGAATAAAAATAAGTGATATTTTGTATTTAGACTAACTGAATGCTGTAGAACAGGATAAGCAACTGCGGTTATTGATTTTCGAATAATTTTATTTTTTGACCCTACTTTGTTTCACCCTACTAAACAACATTTAAAAAAATTTATTTTAAACCTAACTCGCATTTTATTAAAAAAAAACTGTTTTTTTAGTGCGATAAAATTATTACACTTAGAAAAAAATCAGATAAATTGTTATATATATAAGAAGACGTCTCAATTTTAAACAATCAATAGCGGGTACTTTTACCATTTTTTTGTATCACTTCAATCATTCTAGAGGGTAAAGAATCATACAACTTTTTTATGTACGAAATGTCAATTGTATCCCATGCAGATGCGATGGATGATTTCAAGTCAGCTAATGAATTATATTGGTAATTCTTTATAAAATGCGAGTTACGTTAAAAATTTATTTTTTAAAATGTTGTTTAGTGTTGTAAACCCTTTGCTTTCATTTACAATAAAAATTAGTTTTTAAATATAAATGTATAGTAGAAATTTATAAATCTTTTTAAGTTGTATTATCATTATGACGCGAAGCGTTTATATATATTTATATATGTTAGGGTAGATCATTGAAAAAATTTTGACTCTGGATAGTGATAGTTTCTTGCTACTGAATAATATGAAGTAGATTGGAAAAAAAAATTCAATATTTTTAGTGTCTTCCTTTGCCACCAAGGGCCTTAAATCACCATATTTGCATATTTTTATGCTTTGTATCATTATTTAATTAAATAGTAATTTGGTTATAAAATTTAACCTTGAGTAGTGTAAATTGTTGCTCGTGAACGATAAAAGTTAAATGGGAAAAAAAAACTTTTTTTTGTCTTCATTTGTTGCTAAAAGACCTTATTTTACCATATTTGTGCATTTTTAGGCTTTTTTTTGTTGTTATTAAATTACTTAGTAATTTTTGTTCTAAAATTATTAAGTTTTATTTTAAATTGTGATAAATTGTTACCATTAGATGATATAACAAAAATAGAATAGTAATCAAGTTTTTTTTTGGCTTTCTTTTTCTATTGGAGGACTTATATTGTGCATTTTCAGGCTTTTTAATGGTATTTAGGTATGATCAAAATGGTATTTGATCATAATTTTTTTATGTTTTCCGAAATAAATCTATGCCTGGATTTCTAAACCAATATCAAATTATAAATTATTTATATATTCAGTGATTCAAACACTTTTTCAAAAAATTATTTTTTATTTATTTTAGGCACTTTTAAGCTTTTCTTATCGTTTTAAATTACTCAGTAATTTACTATTTATTACTATATAAAATAAAACTAACACTTTTTAAAATTATTGTTATTTATTTGAAAAAAAATTCTATAAAAATTTACTATTTATTAATATATAAGATTAATATACTATTTGTATGTAAAGGTTGTTGTATTATTAATATTATATAGATTACCAATATCAATATATATATATATATATATATATATATATATATATATATATATATATATATATATATATATATATATATATATATATATATATATATATATATATATATATATATATATATATATATATATATATATATATATATATATATATATATCAAAAATCTACTTCTAGAACTTTGTTTTGCAAATTGAACAAAACTAAGTTTATATTTAGAAAATTAAAAATATTTTGATTTCTGTGGCAAACTATGGCTGTTACAAGAGCACAGCTAACTTGTCCTGTTTATGGCATTGAATGTGAACTTACTACTCCCAAACTTCCAATTGTTAAGAAAGTAATTCAGCTTTTTTGTTAAATTACAACTTCCTAGGACTGCCAAGTCAAGTACAATTATTTCTAGAGTTTCTGAAAATGTTTTGTACATTTGTTTGAAATCTGGTATTCCAACTGTTATAATAAGAAGAGTGCAGCAGAAAGTAGAATGTTCGCATAATAATTTGAGAATGATTCTCAAAAGAAAAGGTGAATCAAACACTTCAGCAGTATCAAATGCTTAGATCGAAAGTTTAGTTTTGTTTGACATTGCAGCATGTCATTGTCTTAATTTAAGTCATTACACGTGCCCGAGAATATCAAAAGTGCCGGTACTTGAGCATGAATTTTTAATGAATCAAAGAAATTATAGAAATATTATTATTGATCCATTAGAAAAAGAAAAAACTTTTATATTAACCAAAGCATTTGAAAGAAGCACAAAGAGACAGAAATACTACAGAAATACAACTACACGTTCTACATGAAATTGTGACAAATAATATTAGCAAAAATCAACAGCATCTTTATAACATGTGCAAGGCAATAGAAATAGGTAAAGTGGAAGAAAGCCTTAAAAAAAATCCCTGGTCCGTTGGTTTATTCTCGATGGCTGACAACAGCAAATCCAATAACAAAATTTGTATGTTGCAAGCACTCCTTCGTCTACCGAGCTTTTAATACTTACTAATTACATTCTTCGATTTTAAGCACCGGTTCTTTATAAAACTGGAGCCTCAATGTTACATCGGGGAAAAACACTTGTGGCGCTTAATTCAATTTTCTCGCTTCTTTTCTATAAGTGATCGAAGTTAATAAATCCATTCGAAGAAATGCATATTATGGTCACCCAGAAAATATTTCGATGTTGATGGATGAGCAAAAAGAAGTAAGAGAATTAGAAGCTAGAAGAATTAAATTTGCAGGCGATGCACGATTTCAAATTCTACAGAAGTAAAAAAAATTTTTTTTTTAACTTTGATGAAGTTGATTACTAAAGAGTTTGGAAAGGACTCAAGCATTAATTCACATAGATAAGATTACTTTAATATATATTTCTTGAAGATACGTCTCGTTATTTACAATCACAAACTTGAATCGCGCCAAGTGC